CATAATTCCATAACTGTAGATTCATAATCTCATAACTGTAGATTCATAACTCCATAACTGTACATTCATAACTCCATAACTGTACATTCATAATCTTCGAAGCTCTATATTCACAATTTTAAAGCTCCATGGTCATAATTTTATCACTATATATGTTTATAATTGCAAGTTCATAATGTTAGAGCTCTGTGTTCATAATTTCATAATTGCATAACTGTACATTCATAATCCAAAAAAAAAAATAACGTCGTTAACGGCAAAACGCGCGCGATTTTTTTTTTTTTTTTTTTTTAACTAAATGACGCGTTTTTTTTTTTAAAACGACGTCGTTTTGGGCCCGTGTCCACAATTCACTGTGGACACGGTCCAGGGCATAATTTGCCATATCCAAATGTTTTGGGCTAGAAAATTTGTGGGCCGATTTATTGTTGAATTACTTTCATTGAATTAGGCACAGCCCAACAATTCGTGATGAAATCATTTTCCTATTAATTAATTAATTAATTAATATTCATAAGATCAAAATCACTCAAGTAACAAAATAGTTAACTCACTATCACAATACAATTTCCAATAATTAATAAAACCCTGTCCCTCCTTAATCAACACGAAATCAATTGTTTGCAAAAATCTTTCACCCAGATTTACCATTCAACCCCTTTCCCCTTCCCCACGATTTCTCCTTTATCTCTCTGCAGAAGACGCTCTCTTTAATTTAATCCTCTTAATTCCATTCTTGGTCTTATCCCTCGTTTTCTCCGATTGTCTCATCTTCAATCTTCAATTAAGGTATTTTTTTGTTGTTTTGTTTGTGTAATTTGTATTGACACATGCTTTTTCTGGCATTATTTCATCCCGATTCAAGGAATCTTTTAGATAATATTTGAATAAATAAAATAATTATTTTAGGGTTCAGGATAAGCTCTAGACTTGGTCATCGGTGAGGTTTTGCTTAGATGCATTAATCGATTTCGTTTAATTAGGGTTTATATCTTTTTTTCTTGTCTAATTTGGTGTTCCTTTTGATAATTAGGATGAATCTTTTGTTGAAAAGGAATGATCTTTTCGTAAATTGCTAGTTATGTCTAGTAAAATTGCTGGTAATTTAAGGGAAAGCTGATAATGTGAGCTATTTGTTCTAAACACTGACTTCTTAGTTCATTTTTTTTTTCAAATTTAAAAATTATTTTTTTAAACAAACAATAGTTATTAAAGTAAATTAACTGTTACAAGAGAGGATGATCAGTCTGATGCCTCTCTAAATCGAATTGACTCTAAGAGGCAAATTGCCAAAATCCAAATGAAGATGAATCTTAGTTCATATGTTGGCTTCTTGTTTTGATTTTTGAATTTTTTGCTATTTTTGAGAAAGAAGACTTTTTTTTTTTTTTAAAAAAAGGAAACCTACTCCTTTATACCTAGGGTGAGTGCCCAGCAAATTTTAGTGCTTAAATAGATAATTCAAATTTGAGAAAGAAGACTGAGTAGATTATGTACATGCCTACGATTCACTTTTCTCTTAAAGGCTATTCGAATGCAGTTCAAGTAGTGATGTCATTCCCATGAGATAATAATAGAATGCACTTTGGAGGGTCTTTTTTGTTCAATTTGTGGTCAATTTATGAATCTTTTTCCCCGTTCTTGGGGTTTTGCCTTTGTATATGTTGTCAGTAATTTTGATCAATAATAATAGGTTGGCTCCACCAAATAACATTGTAATTCACTGTGATTGGTAGCTTTCAGTGTGGTCGGGGTAAAACTCTGGCAAGTGGTTTGATGTAGGAAGAATTTCACTACTGTTATAGTTGTTATATTTATTCTTTCTCTTTAAAAAAATTTAAATCCTGAAATAATTTTATTAGTAGTTAGGCCTTTGCTGTGTATTCTAAAGGTGTTCTATGTTTAAAATTTTTTATGTTGTTAGTGGATATGCTATTTATGATAATGCATTGAAAACGGACTGCATCTGGAACTTCTTTAGTGTTAAGTTGTTTGCTGTGCATTTGCAAGGATTTCTGTTTCCATAAAAAACACTTGCTTATATAAGTCTTCTATGATCTTTAACATGTGTATAAAGTTTGTGTGTTTCCATGTGGCAGGAGGATATTGCACAATGGAGTCTTCAAAAGAGACAGGTTGCCAAGCTTCAGAAGGCCCAATCTTTTGTGTTAACAATTGCGGCTTCTTTGGGAGTGCAGCCACGATGAATATGTGTTCCAAGTGCCACAAAGACATGATCTTGAAGCAGGAACAGGCCAAGCTAGCCGCTTCGTCCATCGAGAACATTGTTAATGGAAACGCAAGCAACCCTAAAGAATCCACGGCTGCTGCTGCTGCTGTTGCAATTGACGTGCAATCCGGGCCGTTGGAACTGAAGGTCATTTCTCCACAAGCTTCTTCCGATTCATCATCATCGGGCCAGAGCTCAGAGGCGAAGGCGAAAGAAGGGCCTAGCAGGTGCAATACTTGCCGCAAACGGGTGGGCCTGACCGGGTTCAGTTGCAAGTGCGGGAACCTCTTCTGCGCCGCTCACCGTTACTCTGATAAACACCAATGCCCGTTCGACTATCAGAACGCTGCTCGGGATGCGATAGCCAAGGCAAACCCCGTCATCGTAGCAGAAAAGCTGAACAAGATATAAGGGCTCTCTGGACTTGAAACCCTATGATGATGCTTCAGATAAGTTGGCCCATTTTATGTGTTCTCTTTTGGATGCTGCAATGGTAACAAGGCTTGCAAGTTAAAAAAGTGAACTTTTTAGTCCTTGTGAATTCCTAAACTCTATCTATCTCCTGTGTGTAATGTCATTATTTGTGCTGCTCTGGAATCTGTAACTTCTCTCCTCATTTTCTGCAAATCTCCACTCTCATTTCTTGCTATAATGCCTATATATATGAAAACAGAAATATAATTCTTTGCTTTTCTGGGTACAACCAGCCAGATTAGTGGTGGCAACAATCATTATACTGTGGACCATGATCCATCTGGTAAGGTGAATCATTGATATAAGGTTCATTTTCATTACACTGAATGTTCATTTTTAGTTCATTGAATGTTTATTTTTAGTGTACTGAAGGTTTATTATTTCGTATACTATCTAAAAATAAACATTTATTGGTGGTTTGCATTGTAATGTGAACCATGATCGGCAATAGGTTGCCCTAGTTGGACAGTTTTGGGTTTGTGATAATTGAGTTTGTAACCAATAGTAGATGTATGGACCATGGTCCAAAAATAACATTGTTTTGTGTAATTTTTCACGTGATCCACTATAATATATATTTTTATTACTCATAATGTATATTATTTGAATTTATAAAGTACATTATCTTACTTCATTATTTTAACATTAATACATTATTTTAACTCATAATGTACATTATTCTAATTCATAAAATTCAACGACGTTGTTTGGATCGTGGTTTGTGCAGCTGTGTGGATCATTTGTCGTTTGTAACGGGAACGGGTTCGGGATAAAGGAACCTATCCATTTTATCGGGGGCCCAAATTAACTTTCTTGGGTCTTTTACAGGCCTTTTCAGATTGGGCCATGCCCAAGTGAAGGCCCAAAATCTTAGAAATGTAGTTTTGCTTTCAGCAGGTTCTGTTTTGTCACGTTGTTTCTCGAAAGACAAACAACCTTTCCTGGAAACAATCAAAAGAGGAGCGGTTGTCCTGTTCTGTTCGCTGGATTTGAATCTGTGTAATTCTTGGATTTACTAAAACACCCCTGTAAGTGGAAACTTGATGGATGCTCTGCAGACTGCAAAAATGATTTTTAAAAAATGAGAATCAAGCACGTATAGGCCTACCATTTTCTCTTTCTGACACCATTTCCGGTAAATGCCCCCGTGAAAATGTGAAATTCCCTTTTCTTCCACTTTCTGTTTTTGCTTTTCAGTCCTTCACCTGTTGACTTCTTTCACAAAAACTCCCAAAAATAGAACCCCTATAATGCAACTGAAAATGAATGCTCAAGTCTGAATATTTGCGGAGTGTTTGGTTATTGGTTAATGGTTAATGAAAATCTAATATTGTATTTAAAATCTTTAAAAAGTTATAATGTGATACATTATTATTATTATAGGAAAAATGGTCAAATAGACACTCAAACTTTAACTGCAAAGTCAATTAGGTCCTTAAGCATTTTAAAGTTGTAATTAAACTTGTTAACATTGTATTTTGGTGAATGAAGGCGACCAGTCACCTTCCAGAGTGAGAGTCGCCTTCCTTCTCCACGACCAGCAACTGTTCGCCGGTCACCATTTTTTTTTTTTTTTTTTTGGGTCAGAATTTGTATTAAAATGACGCCGAAAGGTTGTCGGAACCCTAGTGATATGTGATAGCAAATCACTAACCCGTTTTTGAGTTTCATTGCACCAAAATATAATGTTAACGCGTTTAATTGCAACTTTAAAATGTTTAAAGCCTTAATTGACTTTTCAGGTAAAATTCAAAGGTCTATTTCACCCTTTTCCCTACATTATTAAAGATGAAAATATAATGATAAAAGTCACCACCTTATTAAAATAGGGACAAAAACTATTACTGTCAAAAATGGAAGATCAATAATGCTTATATTAATAAATAATGAACTGAAATCTTTATTTTATATAAATATAAGGATCTAACATACTATTTTTAGTTAATTCAATTTTGAATAAATTATTCAAACACAACTATGGAGTATAATTTTTTTTTTTAAATGAATAATTGAAATCTGAATAGTAATTTCACTAATTTGGGGCTGGCAAATGTTCAAACAATGAAACTAAATAAATGAAAGATGCTCTCACCAGTCACGAAGCACCAATCCCAAGGCAATATTCCCTAATCTCTCCTCTTAATCCTGCAATTTTAACATCATTACATTAATTAGAAAAACAACAAAATGATGCACACAAAACAACACTGCATTAAAACGGCGTAGTATAGAGACAGACAACAGTCAAACAAAATTCAAATTAATCTCATCGATCAAATGTACTATGTACTTATGTAGTATAACCACCAAAATTCAAACTTGAAGTAATGAGTTTTATGGACAAAAACCTCCATTGTTGTCGTCATCAATCCCACACCTGACACAACGTTGTTTTCTCAGGTTCTGCAACTCCTGGTTGCGCAACTCTTTTTCCATGCAAAATATTTAATCTTTTCAGATTGCTGGGTATACAAAGATTCAATTTTTAGTTAGCCATAGCCATGAACAGTTTGAATTTCGCCCCACCATTTTTCTTCTTCTTCTTCTTTGTGGTGTCTGTTGTTCCTCTCTGTTCATCTCTCAGTTCGGATGGGCTGTCGCTTTTAGCTTTGAAAGCCGCCATTAATTCCGACCCAGCTCAGGTGCTGGCGAGTTGGTCCGAGTCGGACTCAACGCCTTGCCAGTGGGCTGGGATAGCCTGTGATGACACCCACCGAGTAACCTCTGTTTCCCTCTCCGGCAGCAACCTCGCCGGCTACCTTCCCTCCGAAATCGGCGCTCTGTCTTCTCTCGCCTCTCTTAATCTCTCCGGCAACAACTTCTCCAACCTCATTCCTGCTCATCTCTTCAACGCCACTTCTCTCGTCTCTCTTGATCTCTCCCGGAACTCCTTCTCCGGCCCCTTGCCGCCCCAAATCACCACTCTCACAACCCTCACCCATCTCGACCTTTCGTCCAATCTCCTTAACGGTTCTCTCCCTGAGGACCTCATTAGCCTCTCCCACCTCGTCGGAGCCTTGAACCTCTCGTATAATTCTTTTTCCGGCCAAGTTCCCGCCTCGTACGGCCGGTTCCCTGCAACGCTCAGCTTGGATCTCCGGCATAACAACCTCACCGGAAAAATACCCACGGAGGGGTCTTTGTTGAACCAGGGACCCACCGCATTTACCGGGAACCCTTACCTCTGCGGGTTCCCATTGGAGACTCAATGCCCGGAGCCAGAAGCTCAAAACCCTAGAATCTTCCCGAATCAAGAACCTCCGAAAGATCCAATCTTTTCATCAAATGAGCTTGGAGAGAGAGGTAAAGCGAGAAACGGGTCCGGGGCGGTTTCTTTAATTTCCGGCGTCTCGGTGGTGATCGGAGTGGTGTTTTTTTCGGTATGGGCATACCGGAAAAAATGGAATTCCGTTGAGGAAAATCCGGAGAAACAAAACCCGGACACGACGGAAGCGCACAAGACCGAAGAGGGGCAAAAAGAAAAAGAAAAATACTCAGTTCTCGACGAAGGATTCTCTTTGGAAATAGAGGATTTATTGAGGGCGTCAGCATACGTAGTAGGAAAGAGTAGAAGTGGTATAGTGTATAAGGTGGTGGTGGGCGGCTCCGCCGTGAGCGGCGGCGCCACCGTGGTGGCAGTGAGACGCCTAAGCGAGGGAGACTCCCCGTGGAGTTTCAGGGAATTCGAAGCCGCAGTTGAGGCCATTGCCAGAGTCCAACACCCCAACATTGTTAGACTCCGAGCTTATTACTATGCCAGTGATGAAAAATTGCTAATTACAGATTTTATCCATAATGGGAGCTTATACAATGCTTTGCACGGTAAGCATCGATCTATCGTCTTCTTCCTTAGTTTGTTTTGTGTTTTTGCATTGCATAATCATAATTCCATTCGTTACTGATTAGTGATCACAACAATCCCGGCATTTAAGACGACTGAACAAAATACTAATGCTTGTTGAGTTGTGGCAAGTGGCAATAGACTACATTGCAAGTATATATGTAGGAGAATAGCGGATAGACTTCGTGTTTATGGTAGTTTTGGTGTCGAATTTTTATCCAAATTGAAGTGAAATAAGAGAAATTTATGGTAATCTGCCTGGTTTTGGGTAGTTATTGAAAGCTTATTAAGGGCATGCGTAGTGGAAACTGGAAAAAAAGTTAGGAAGCTAGGAGCTTATTTTGAAACCCAAAATAAGTTCTTATTTTAAGCTAGGAGCTTATTTTGGAAACATTACCAAACAGAGCTTATAGCTTATTAGTAGCTTAAAATAAGCTCTGCCAAATAGAGCCTATATGGATCGATGTGATGCATTTGTCTATTTTGGTTGGTGGGTGAGCCTCAGAGCATACATACTGTAAATAATAATGACTTTGCACTTGTGAACCTGCTTATCTGCTGTACTTTATCGCTATAAGCTAATGGTATTTTTGTTGCACCTGACAAATTGCTCGGTTCTTTCTCCTGTCTCCCTAAGCTTGCTTGTGATATATGTGCTCCACTATTATGTTTACCTGTGACAGGGTACACGGTGAAAACTGTCGAATTCATTTACTATACATTGTTTGAAACACCAGAAGACATAATTAATTTATGGACCCTACGATAATCATCCCCAGGTTGGGTGTTTGCTAGTGTGACCAAATTTTCACAAATCACACTTGAAAGAAATGATTTTTTGCTTGAAATATTTCACGGGCCCTCGGATTTCTGTGATTCTTGCTTAGTACCGACTGTTGTAGAACTTTAAGATTGTTGCTGAAGTAATGACAACTTAGTGTGGATGTCTTCGTTTTAATTTTGCTAATAACGTTGTCGGGCTGAGCATTGCAGGAGGACCTGGAAATTTGTTGGTGGCGCCGTTATCATGGGCAATGAGATTGAAGATTGCTCGAGGCATTGCGAGGGGTTTGGTGCACATCCATGAATGCGGTCCAAAGAGATATGTTCATGGGAACATAAAATCCTCGAAAATCCTTCTCGATGAAGACTTAAAGCCCTACATATCTGGTTTTGGATTGACACGCCTTGTGCCAAGCCTGTCAGGTCAGAAAGGAATGAACTCAAACCAGTTCATAATTAGCCCAAGAAGTTCAAACTCGTCCTTCGAGGCACCCGAAGCTCGGGCTGCAGGCAGCAAACTAACCCAGAAATGTGATGTGTATTCTTTCGGGGTCGTGCTTCTGGAGATTCTAACCGGGCGATTGCCAGATGGAGGAGGAGGAGGAGCAGACGAGGATGGGAAGGGGATAGAGTGCGTAGTGAGGAAGGCGTTTCGGGAGGAAAGACCGTTGTCAGAGATCATAGACCCCGCTCTTATGCATGAAGTTCATGCCAAAAAACAGGTGGTGGCGACGTTTCATATCGCCCTGAACTGCACCGAGCTGGATCCTGAACTTCGGCCTCGGATGAGAGCTGTTGCAGACAGCCTAGATCGCGTCAAATCGCAGTGACAAGACAATGTTTAAGGTGTTGTAGAGAAATATGGAGCCTTTATTTTGTTGGCATATAATGTTTAAGGTGTTTGGTTCATTTGTTGTTTGAGAATGGGATGAGTTGAAGCATTTTGTAATGAAACTGATGGTTGTTGCTTCCCTATGTGGTGTTGTTGCACCTTTGCTGCTCATTGCATTCGTCTATTTCTAACCTTATCCTTCCAATACTTTTTCACTTTTAAAAGCAATGTTGAAAAAATCGCTAGGCACCTAAAACACTTAGGCGGATGCTTAAAAGGCCTACTGCCTAGTGCCTAGGCGCAATTTTTACAACACGATTTAAAAGTGAGTCTCAATAATTTCACATTATTAATTTTACAATTTCAATTAACCTTGTGGTCAAACAACATAAAGTAATTCTTCCAAATAAGAGATTGGGCTGAGTCAATAGTACTCAAAAAAAAAAAAAAACTATCTTTTCTAATACTCTCATTCTCAAAATGATCACACTATCATATATTATATTATAATAATAATAAATTGACAAATAAAAAATTAATACATAAAAAACTTCCATCTAGCAAGCTTGCAAGCCACATGTATTACAAAAAAAAAAATGATAATAATAATAATTAAATAAACCACATTATCTTCCACCTCATTATGAAAGTGGTAAACTTTTCAATCCTTATACCATGGACCAGGGTTCACAGTGTACTGTTGGACCCTAGTGCATGTGTATATGTGTCTTATGTTGAGCGTTTTTCTATTTTGTGTTATGAAATTCTGTATTTTAAAAATATGAATTATGTATCTGAAATAAATTAGTAATTGTGTCTTATACTATGAATTTATGTATCTTTGTGTTGTAAAATTTTGTGCCTATGAACACAAATTGTGCACTTATATCAGATTTGAAAAATAAGTAAATATATAACATACCTCGTATTGTGATTTTTTGTGTCTTGAACTATGAAATTTTGTACCTCTTTATTTTAATTCATGTGTCCATAATACTATATGCACTTTGGTCCATGATATAAATTGACTAAACTTTCAGGATTGATGATAGTCTTTATGAGTGATCATCCATAAATCCCATAAACTCAAATGTTGTGGTGTCCATAATATATATCGCCTTATAAGATATGAAATATAAGAAGGCCTTAAATTGACTATTAAGTTGAATAAATAATGTAATTGAATTTATAACTGTTAACAACCATTTAAAAAGGTATCACTATCAATATAATAATAGGTTAACACTAATTTGAATCACACGTGAAATTTTGATGTTGCCCAAGTGGATTTCAATTGTACAAATTCTGATTTTGAATTTTTGTTAAATATAACCATGACATTATCCAGCGATCAAACTGGTGTCCCCGGCTTCTCCAACGAAGGAGAAGGTCATGACCACTGGTTGCCTTCCCCTTCTTGGAGAAGTCAGCGACCAAACTGGTGTCGCCGGCTTCTCCAGTAAAGGAGATGGCCACCTTCTTCGCTAGAGAAACCGGTGACCGGTGTCGCCGGCGACCAAATTATTTTTAAAGAAAAAACACTCACAAACGCAAGTCCCACTTACTTTTGTGGTTTGACCAATTCCGACATCTAACGCATGTCCCAAACGATCATTTTCATATTTTTGTCCACAAAAATGGTCAGTCACATTTCAGGAAATGCATGCTTCTGCCTTCACATTGTAGTCATTTTCCTCCATTTTCATACCCTAAAATGTGAAATAGTTATGTAGTATATATATATATAATAAATTGTTGAGCAACCCGCCAAGTTGGTTAAACAGTTGATTTGGTAATCATAATATTATAAGTTTAATTTTGACAGGAGTGATTTATTAGTCTACTTGATATGAGCCGATTAGGCGATTAGTGACAAAAAAAAAAAAAAAAAAAAAAAAAAAAAGATAAGTTCAGGTACAACAGAAAATTGTATTTTAACATAAAAAATTGCGATATGAGAGGGTAGTATTAAATAAGAGATTGAACATGGCAATGGCAACCATAATATATAATATGTTAAATTTTGGGGTTAGGTGAATCTCAGAGTTCCCAAAAAGTTTGCAGCTTTATCCTTAATTAGAAAATTTTAAAGTGAGTTTGCTACCATTTCTGGCCCCTATTCCACTGTCCTCAAACTTTACCATATTTGTCATAGGAATCAATTTTTCTTCATCTCCCCCTATACTTACTACTTCTTGTTTCATTTCAAAGGACCAAAAAATAGCACCAGATAGATCTACCTCTCTTCTCCTCTCTGCTAACAAGAACCTGGAATAAAGAAGTATTCTTTCTTGCTTCAACCTCAAGACTTCACTGCCAGACTGCTTAACAAACAAGCAGTTCAGTTCTTGATATAGTAGTGTATGTGGTTCTTTTCTGGCAGAGAAAAGTTGGGAAGGAATGAATGGTGATTCCCAGGCTTTGTGTTCTGATTCCCTGAATTCAAACCCCAAACAAGGCCTGTTTTCCAACACCAGGGAGCTATTCATGGACTCTCCTAATCAGAACAGTTCTGGGTTGTTGAGGTTCCCGTCAGCCCCGGGTTCTTGCTTTGAGAATCTCAGCCATGGAGTTGACAAGAATGGGGATAACAGTACTGGGAATGATGGGTTGGATTCAAAATTCAATCTTGGTTTGATTAATGGCTCTGCTGTTCTGAATTCACAGTTGCCACCTCAATATCCATGGAAGATCCCAGGTAGTGTGAACTTAGTGGAAACGGATCATTCTGGGCAGCCCAAATTGGTGTCCAGTTTCATGAGACAGAATAGTTCACCTCCTGCCCTATTCTCACCTCAAAATGGTACTGCTTATTGACAACTCCTAATATGTGGTTCAGTCACTCTTACCAAACTTTAATGCTTTCTTCTTCAAAAAGTGGTTTGCAGAAACTATATATATTAAATTTAGCAGTTTAGGAATCAGTTCTTAATTGCTTTTACCAAACTTTTAGATACATCATTGAGTACCTTTTTGAGTTCCTAAGTTTTATGCAAATATGAACTTGTGGTATCTTCATTGAGGGTTATCTGTAGCAAATTAAAGAATGGGAGTGAAGAAATTCCACATTGATATATCCAATAACTGAAATTTGATCATAAATTTTCAGGTTATGCCCGGTTGAGGGGTGATCTTGGTGGCTGCTACAGAGTGGGAAATGGTATTAATGGAGCCTCGAGCCGTTGTTTGAGTAGGCTGAAGCCTCAAATGAGTAATTTGTCTCAAATCACAGAAGTTGAGAAGAAGAGCTATGCGGGAAGTGTCACTGATGATGATGAGAAGCCTGGAAATGGCAATTCAGACACTCGGTTTTACAGTTCTGAATTCCCCTTTAGTTCTTGGAGTGACTCTCCAGCAGTATTTTCACAAGGCAAAACATTCAATAATGCCGACACTCAGGTTTGACAAGATTCCTAGCTCGATCTGAATTTCGTTTAAGATTGATTCCTGATTTTGATTTTGAAGTGGAACGAACGTACTCTTATTGTGTGTAACTAGATCGGAGACCTTGGACCTCGGCCCCAGATTTTGTCACATCACTCGAGTTTACCAAAAACATTGCAATTACAACAAAGTGTTCCTTGTAAGATCCGTGCCAAACGAGGCTGTGCAACTCATCCTAGAAGCATTGCAGAGAGGGTAAGAGAATGATTGCCTTTTGGTATTAATATTATCAGTAAACATTCTTAATTATTTTTTCACGTTTTGCTTCTGTTATTCCCGACTTGTAAATCAAGAAACTGATACATATAATTATGTTCTCTTCAGGTAAGAAGAACGCGGATCAGTGAAAGAATGAGAAAGCTACAAGAACTTGTTCCAAACATGGACAAAGTAGGCTCTTTTTAGTCTGTTTTACATCATCAGTTACTGTTATCTTTCGTCCACGAAACTAATTTGCAGTTCTTCCTGTCAGCAAACCAACACGGCAGACATGCTAGATTTGGTGGTGGAATACATCAAAGACCTCCAAAAACAATACAAGGTATAATGCAGTAATTAATCCTCAACACATTATGAAAACTGCAGCATATCTATACTGATCAATCTGTATAATTATGCATTATGCATTCATTGCTTGTTTCCAGAGCCTCGATGAAACTCGAGCCAACTGCAAATGCTCCGCTATGCAGGCGCCCCTTTCAAATCGAACGGTGTGATTTGCTTCTGCCAAATTGGAATGGAGAAGAAACAAAAGAGAGTTGGGGAGTCTGTCTTAGTGTTTTCTTCTTGGAAGTTTTAGAAGAAGTCAGGTAATAGATTATTTGAAATGATCATACCCATAAGATGATAGATGTTGTAATACAATGTCAAGTGTTGAGCATATAACCATTAATGTGCAATCCAACTATTGAAATGGAGGACATGCTTTAATTAAGAGGAATAAAATTAGTGAGAAATTATTAGAAAAAGTGTGGATTAGTTGCTAGTATAGGATATGCATTATTTCTTTTCCCTTTAGTGCAATAAAATTCTTTATAGACTCTATTACAATGTAATATCTGTTACCGGGAGAGCTACTTCGTGCCACTATAGCACAAGGTTGAGTAAAATTGTGTCACAAATTTTATTATAAATAAAATAAAATACTGAAACAAATTAAACACATAAAAACAGTTAATGGGCCCCGCACTGGCCGTTGGTCCTCTCTTAGTTTTCTTTCTCCTCAACGTAACCTTTCCAGTTTCCTCTCTCTTGCGCAAAAGAACATCCATCAAACCAAGAAAATCACCATCTCCGATCCAAATATTCTCTGTAAATCTGTAATTGTATGTATATATTCACAAACCCTAAGATTAAATCTATATATACAAGATTGCATTGGGTGGGTTATCTTCACATACATACCCGAATTGAATCAGCTTTCGAATTCTGATCTGATCTTCATTCCAGTGCAAGAAATAATTGGTTTGATAAATTTCAGCTGGGAGCAGTGTTGTTTTCATTCAATTCCTGAATCATATATATATATATGGTGATGGTGAAAGGTAAATGTTGAAAAAGCGTTGGTTGAGGAAATTAAAAAGATCATAGCCGGGATCGCGAGATAATATATATAATGTCGAATTTATATGGAGAATATAATAAGAAGATTGATTATGTATTCAAGGTTGTGTTGATTGGGGATTCAGCAGTGGGGAAATCAAATCTCCTGGGCAGGTTTGCCAGGAACGAGTTCAGTTTCGATTCAAAGGCTACCATAGGCGTCGAGTTTCAGACTAAAACTCTTATCATGGATCAAAAGACTGTTAAGGCACAGATTTGGGACACTGCTGGCCAAGAAAGGTACCTACTTCTTTTCATTCAAATTCTGTTCTCTCTCCCTTTTTGTGTTATGATCAAACGCTTTTACAACCATGACCTGTACTCTAATACCATTTCACTGTAATTAGTAGTGAAGATTCAATTTTATTTATTTATATATCTGCATAGTAATATGTGCTCGAAAGGTAAGGCGTTGAACTTGGGTCTTCAGACATCCGCCCAATAATCTCTTAGCCATCTAGTACTAGACGAATTGTCATACCAAGGACCAAAGTTCATATTGCATTGTAAACCTTAATATAAAAATTTTGTGTTTAACATGACACATTTTGTACATGTGATTAACAATTTATGTATTGTAAATAAATTGCGGGCACATAACATGGTAATTACAAACACATAATATGATAACTACAGACACATAAATTGTTAACTGCAAGTACATAATATGTTAACTGTAGACACATAATGTTGGTTAACATGTTATGTGTCTGTAGTTGACAATTTATGTGTCTGTAGTTATCATGTTACGTCTGTAGTTATCATGTGATGTGTCTTCAATTTGTTTATAGGTACGACGGAGTGTGTCAACCACAGATACATAATTTGAAAGTTATTTTTAGATTAGGGTCAACAATGCAAGTTAAACCTTGATCCATGATATATTTTGTTGTGTTGGACCATCCTTCAGACTTCCGTCCAACAGTATCTCTGTTTGTCCTGTTCCATTCCTTCCTAAGGAATAAACCTATGATCCCAAGCTTGAGTTAGATCTGAAACTGTTAGGATTAGCTAATAATGGTGTGTGTGTGTGCGCGCGCGCACGCGCAGGTATAGAGCGGTAACGAGTGCGTACTACAGAGGGGCAGTGGGAGCAATGCTAGTATTCGACTTGACCAAGCGACAGTCGTTCGACCACATGGCACGGTGGCTGGAGGAGCTTCGAGGGCACGCAGACAAGAACATCGTCATAATGCTGATTGCAAACAAGTGTGATTTAGCTCATCTGCGGGCTGTGCCAACAGAAGATGCCCAGGAATTTGCAGAGAGGGAGAACTTATTCTTCATGGAAACTTCTGCGATGGAAGCAACCAACGTGGAGACCGCATTCATGACTATCCTCACCGAAATCTATAAAATCATCAGCAAGAAAACACTTGTGGCAATCGATGATGCTAACCCTGGTTCCCTTAAGGGTACTAGGATTAATGTTGTTCCTGGTGAGGAGCCTGATTCTGCAGGTGCCAGTGGTAGTAGGTGTTGCAGATAGTATAATGATTTCCGCTCTTAGTTTTCTTCAATTATGTTTTTGGGATCCATTTTAGCTAGGAAACACTACTTTTGTTATTAGAAACGTTATGAGTGAGACAGACAGAGAATAGTGAGTAAGTTGTTGGTCGGTCTAGCTGTGTTTGTTTGTATGTAAACAACAATTCATATTCAAAAGAGTGTATGAATAACACATCAAGTTTTGCACAAATTAAGATGGATTTGCATTTGGTTTAAAACTCTGGGTCTGGTCGAGATGGAGAGGGAAGGGGTTCTTGTTTATTTATTTAAAATTGTTTAAATGTTTTTTTTTTTTTAAATTAAACCTTTATCACTCCATCAACATACAATTGAAAGTCATGTCACTTTTCATTTAATAACATCCACATCAGTGGTGTTTGGGGAGATTTTTGAGGAGGTAATGCTAATGTGGAGACAGAATGAGTTGGGTGCATCCACACTAGTAGTTTTTTTGCAAAGAAAAAACTGATTTGACAAGAAAAAAACTTATGAGACAACTGATTTTTGGAGAAATTTCTCCTGCAAATACATGAATTTATCATGAGAAAGAAAAAATATAAATAAATAAAGGCACATTTTGCCGTGTGAAGCGCACCTCGTCAAAGTTGGCAGCCACTCTGACTGAAAACATAGCTTATTTTTAGTTGTCAAAAGCTTTTTTGTTCCTTTTATTTTTCTCTCTCACTTTTGTCTCTCTCCAACATGGCTTTAAAAAAAAAAAAAATTGTGTAAAACCCCCATTAGTGTGGATGCTCTAGCTAAAGACTTAATTTGTTGTCTCCAAAGTGAGACCCACCTTAAAAAAAAAAAAAAAAAAAAAAAAAAAAAAAAAAAAAAACTGCCCCATTTACCGCGTTATGCACAAAGAATGCGCCCTGGGTGCATGCACTCCACGTGCCTGTTGGACGCATTAATCTGACACTATTCTTTCTTTTGTTTTTATTATTTTTTTCTTTTTTAATTTTGTTTTGTTTTTTTTTTTCAATCCCTCCCATCTTCTGTTTTATAGGCACACATGTAAAAACTTCTCAAAAACTACAACTACTAGAGATGCTCTAATTAATTAATGGTATTGTTAGTTTTATGACTACGAGGTAGTCAGTTAATAGGTCAACACAACTGTAAACAAATAACAAATGCGAGTAAGTATACTTTTTATTTCGATAAAGTATGCAATAACTGAACCCTTTACAACGTGCATCTCGAGAGGTATTTATACACGGGTAGTTGACGGTAAGAAAGGAAAGGAAATTGTTTGCAAATTGAGATTACGAAATTGTCCTTAACCAAGCCTAGCCTTTTTTTCCTAAAATGCAAGATCTCCTTCCTAAAGTGAGTGATGGATCTTCCGAATATCTTTTAGATTGAATATTTTCCCACACGATTAGAGCATCCATAATATAAGTTATTTGGAGGGTTTTGTCAGATCAATTATCTCCATGTGAGTTATGTCTAGATGTGGACTAAGGATAAAAGCATAGATATTTCTCCCGCAAAGATAGAGTTCATGTCAGAAAAATTAAATAAAAAATAAAATAAAATGAAACAGAGAAGTGCGCTTGGCGCGCACTGTCGCCCCAACGGGCGCGTGTTTCCGACGCGCCAGCGGGTGGCGACTCTGACTTTTAAACAACTTTTAGTTCTTTTTTTTTTTTTGTCAAGTTTTTTTTTTTTCTTCAACATGTTTTTCTCTTTCCTAAACACTCTTACAAAAATCGCACCGGAGTTAAACTACTATGGATGCTCTTATGCACTCCAAGCTGACGCACTCACTACACGTCCAATTGCCTGCCCAGTCATCCTAACTAGGTACGTTTACTATGGGTCTATTAGGTATTATGATTTTGGATTATTCAATAACCGATTATTATATGGTAGACCATGGTCCAAAAAACGGCGCCGTTTTTTTTTTTTTAAGTAAAGAAACGATAACCGTTAAATTTTAAAATGAAACTGAATAATTTGTCTCGCATATTGTGTTTATATTATCAAATGAAACTGTAATTGAATTAAAATGATACTTTAGTTGTGTTGAAATGAAACTGTAGTATATACACAATGAAATTGAATACATGTATCACATATTGAGTGTATATTGTCAAATAAATCTGTAGTTGAATTTAAATGATACTTTAGTTTTGTTGAAATGAAACTACAGTATGTATAAAAAAAAAAACTGAATAACATGTTTCACATAGTGAGTGTATATTGTCAAATGAAAGTGTACTTATATCAAAATGATACTTTAGTTATGTTGTAATGAAACTGCAGTGTATATAAAATGAAACTGAATAACAAATTTACATATTTGGGTGTATATTTTCCAATGAAACTGTAGTTGAATTAGAATTATAATTTAGTGGTGTTGTAATAAGACTACAACTCAATGTGTATAAAATGAAATTCAATAACAAGTTTCACTGTAATAAGACTACTGTATGTATAATGTCAAATGAAATTATAGTTAAAACAAAACGAAACTTTATTAGTTTTATTGAAATGAAACTATAATGTATTTAAAATGAAACTGAATATGTTATACAAACATAACTAATTGCACGAAACGGGTGCAATATCTTTTCATTAAAAAACACAACACTATTTTAGATCCACCGTAAAATTTGTCTTCAATAACTTAAATGTAGGTTTTTAAGTTGATAGTCCAAGTATAATTTTGTACATAATTTGATAACCTATTTTACCCTCATTTTTCGTTCATAATTAACCCATTCATGATGGAGTAATGGTGAAATAATAAACCACACCCATTGTATGATAATGGTCTATGAAGATTTATGCATTCTTATAACAGCTAACAATAAATTTTCAATAACTAGTTTGACAACAGTAATTCTTTTCAATGACTAGCTTTAACAGAATCAATCTCGTGGTCCATATCATTGAGCCTATCGAGCCTACTAAATGATTGAGCAACTGTTATATTGTGGAATCGTGTCCACCTTACAAGGTTAACACGGTTATATATCCATAATTATTAAATTATATGTTCATGATTATTAAATTTTATGTTCATAATTTTTTAACTTTATATTCACAATTATTGAACTCTATATTCACAATTACAAAACTCTATGTTCATAATTATAGAACTCTATATTCATAATTTTTGAATTGAGTTAATTCCACCAGAGGTCCCTTGCAAGGTGGACACGGTTCCAAAATTGTTCATAATTATGAATATATAATTCAAAAATTATGAACATATAGTTCTATAATTATGAATATAGAGTTGTAAACATAATTATGAACATATAGTTCTAAATTTGGAATTGCCACCAAAGACAAGGGACATCTGGTGGAATTAACTCAATTCAAAAATTATGAATATAGAGTTTGATAATTATGAACATAGAGTTTTGTAATTGTGAATATAGAGTTCAATAATTGTGAATATGAAGTTCAAAAGTTATAAACATAGAGTTCAGTAATTATGAAAATAAAGTCGTGTCAACCTTGCAAGGTGGACACGATTATATTCCACGGCATGACCAAGGGCGGAGCCACTTGCATAGTGCAGGGGGCCTTAACCCCAATAGTTATGTTGTGGAACCGTGTTCACCATGTGCATGGTGAACACGGGATAGATCCATAATTTCTAAGCTGTAGATTCATAATTTCTATACTGTAGATTAATAACATTTATACTGTAGATTCATAATTTCTGTACTGTAGATTCATAATATCTGTACTGCGAAGACGAAATAGCGCGATTGTGAAGAGAGAAACGTCGTTAACAAATGAAAAACAAAATTATGAATCTACAACATAGAAATTATGGGTCTACCCCTGTGTTCACTATACGCATGGTGAACACATTTTCACAACATAATTTGCGCCCTGGCCCCCTCCCCCTCATTTTTTAAAATATTATAATAATTATTTTTGGTATCCTACCTTCTCAAAATATTTGGCCCATCCCAATTAATCATGTAGACTAAGTTTCCTATTTTCTAGGTTTTTCACAATATCAACTCTTATCTTCTTCAAGGATTAACATGGCCATTTTTAGAGCATCCGCATCAGTTGAAGGTATTGTGGGGAGAATGTAAGAGTGATTAGGAAAGAGAATGTGGGATGGGAGAGAAAACAAAAGGAAAAAAAAAAAGAATAAAGTTGAATTTTATAAAAAAATAAATAAATAAAAAAGTTAATGTGTCAGGCGGGCAGACTGCGCGCCACACGGGCGTGTGCAGTGGCCTCTGGCTGTGCGCAAACGCGCACATCATTTGCTGCTTTTAATTTTTTACTTTTTTTCCTTTTCTAACATTAATTGGGTCTTTATAGGACAAATATTTTCTAAAATAACCTCACCCCACATTTGCTATTAACCCCACTCAAAATAAATGATCTGACATTAACCCCCATTTCACCTCTGATGTGGATGCTCTTACATATATTTGAATCTTTTAATGAATTACATATTGGTATTGTATATTTTTATTTTTCTTCAAGCAGCATTCTATGAATAACTGCATTAATGACGGCTTAGTCTTCCATGTCAAAGAATAAGGTGATTACAAAAACAAAGAATTAGATATATAAGATAGATGTTAATTTGAAACAAATAATTAATTAAGATTAACTACTGCATAGAGTGATTGTATATATATCATGAGCAGGGGTTGCAGGAGTAGTATTGAGAAGAAAATATTAGTCTGCTACTCAATTTTAATCGATATGAAATACAATAATGTATCTTGAAAATCATAATCAACCGGTTCAGTCCCTGTAGCATCTCATCTTGGCTCCGCCCCAAGGCATAACAATTGATGATTGAGCCTATAACATCAACAACAAAAATAATAATTGTGAGTAACGATTAATTTTATTGTTTTTTTATACTATTTATTTATATTTTATTAGATTATACATTATTCACGTTTTGTTGTACTTTCTCAAACTGTAATAGGAAAGAAATAACACTTTATAGTTTATAGTCTCTTAGTTGAAGTCTTGATGTATATTTTTTTCATTTGATTATTCACACAATTAGTGTGTTGATGACTAATAAAGGAGTGACCTCCATGTTGATTTGAAATTTTATTTGGATCAATTTTTAAGTAAAAGTAATAGTGAGGTACAATATTTGTTTAAAAAAATGTTTTTGAAGAAATTATTTCTTACAATTTATAACGATGTAGTTTTTGGTATGATGAAATTGTAATTCTATTCTTATCAAACTTCATGAAATTATACTTCTATGGTTTGGTTGGAGGAAATTTTAATTCCACGAAATTACAATTCTTAAGGTCTCCTTTAAGAATTACAATTCCACACTTTGTGAAATTGTAATTAAATGATAAACTATCATTTTATATATTTTTTATTCTTATGATTATTATATTATTATTATATAAAGATATTTCAGTCTTTATTCACTTCTTTCTCTCTCAATTCTTCATCATTCTATTATTTCATATCAAACAATGTAATTTAAATTCTCACTTTATTTATTTTTTTTATGAAATTACAATTCATTTACTTTAATCTCATCTTTCCAACCAAACGTCATGTTATGGGTACAATATTTAAAAAAGGAAACACTATAGAGGTTTTTTTTTTTTTTTTTTTTTTTTTTTTTTTTTTTTTGTTTTAAGGAGAAGAAGAAAATCAAGAAATAAAAGCTTGGGAAAAAAATAGGGTAGGGTAGGGTGGCAAATTATGCTGTGCATCTGTATGCACCATGCATGGTGCATACGGATGCAAAAACGACGTCGTTTTAATAAAACGCGCGTCTCCTCTTAAAAAAAAATCAGGTTCGATTCCTAGCAACAATATATGAACTAAAATTCCATAATCGATGAACTAAAATTCCATAATCGATGAACTATAATTCCATAATATAATCTATGAACTAAAAATTCCAGAATGAATGAACTAAAATTCCATAATCTATAAACTAAAATTTCAGAATCGATGAACTACAATTCCATAATCGATGAACTATAATTCCATAATCAATGAACTATAATTCCATAATCTATGAACTAAAATTCCAGAATGAATGAACAATATAATGTTGTTGCTGAGAATCGAACCTGAATTTTTTTTTAAAGGGGAGACGTGCGTTTTTTAATAAAACGACGTCGTTTTGGCATCCGTATGCACCATGCATGGTGCATACGGATGCACAGCATAACTATCCGGGTAGGGTGGGGGGATGGGGGTTTAACCGAAAGGCCCAAGCCAGAAACGCCCAAACAGAACGACATCGTTTAACCAAGTCCCAAGTCCCAAGGCCAAAATTTCAAATTTGAAAGTCAACCCCGTGATTAAATGATGAAATATTTCATTTTTTAAAAATTTAATTGTCCCAAAAATTTCGGTTCCTGAAAAATGAAAATAAAATGCCGCCCAAACCCACATTTGAAATCCTTCATATTTTCGGCTTTTCGCCATTCTCGTTGAGCTCTCTCTCTTTATCAGCCAGCCCGAGCCGCTTAACTTCCTGTTCCCAGTCCATTTTGCATTCATCAATCAAGGTAATCTTTACAATTTTGCATGCACTGTATTCAATTAGGGATTGGATTCTGTTCGTGTTTGTCGTCGTCGGAGAAATTTGGTTCCCAGAAATTTAACCTATTCGGTTTCTGATTGTGATTTACTCTTCTGTTGCTAGTTTTAAGTTTTACTTTGACTTTATTTTGTGGATTGTAGGGTTTGACACAATGCCGGAAGCCAGAGATCGATTGTCGAGGCCGGTGGATGTCGCCGAGATTTACCGAAGGCGGGTGACAGGAATTGGGGAAGGAACGCACATGGAGGAGGGCGGAATCCTTCATCCTCATAGAGATGACGTGGATGATCTCAGCGTCGGAAGTCCGTTCAGGTGGGGAGCTACTGGACTGACCGGGGCTGTCGGAGCAGGAAGTGCGGCGGCGGCGGCGGCAGGTGGCGTTGGGACCCCGATTAGGAATAGGAGGTCTCCTTATAGGGCGACGCCAAGCGCGAGACGTGGGCGCGGATCGTCGGCCAGGGTGATTGGTCGAGAGAACATTTCACACACAGGCCGGCGGCTAGTTCGAGCTCGCGGTGGCGTCTTGCCGTCATGGTATCCGCGGAGGCCATTACAAGATATTACCTATATCACAAGGGTGATTGATTATTCTCTCATTTTCCTGGTTAATTGCAATTCCTGATTTGATTGGTATTTATTGTTGTAACATTAAATGTGAATTTATATTGAGTGCTTCATTTATGGCATTTCTAATTTGTAAAGGCCTACCAAAGGAGAAGAGAACGCTTGAGAGAAGGAGAAGAGGTAGAACCAGGGACGCCATTGCTCCGGGATCAGACTGCTCTTGATCCTACAATAGCCACTCCTAGTGCTCAGCTTGAGCACAATCCTATTACTCCATTTCCAACCCTGAGAAGCAGGCTGTGTCCTCCTTCTGTTATTGACAAACTGCCCAAGATTTTGAATGAGGTTAAGGATCAGAATGCTCAAGATTGGGAGTTTTTGACACCTGAGAAGAAACTCCTCAACTCGATAGACACAGTGGAGAAAGTATTCAAGGAGGAGCTTCAAAAGCTACAAAGGACTCCCAGTGCCAAGAAGGCTGAAAGGGAGAAGAGGGTGAAGACTCTCATGTCCATGCGTTGATTTGTACCATCAACCTGCACTTATCTGCCTCAATCAAGATTGAGGCACGAAGGGTTTTGGAGGAAAGAACTTGTTATCTGCCTCAATCAAGATTGAGGCACAAAGGGTTTTGGAGGAAAGAAGCATGAGCAGCTGAGTTCGGGGCATGATTGATCATCTTCTTATGATCAATCTTGGTTTCTTATACTGGTGTAAATTACAATCGATATTGACCACTTAGCAATTTCTGATTTTTCCTTATGCTTTCTAGATTTTTTCTTTCTTCTTATTGAACTCCTTTAAGCATGTTTAGCCTTTAGCAAACTCTTGAATCAGGTATAATAGAATGCTAGTTGCAGCAAATTCTTTCCCTTGATAGTAGTTCACTAGTTCTTGCTGGTTATTTTTGCTACTTTAGCAAACTCTTGAATCAGGTATAATAGAAGGTTAGTTGCAGCAAATTCTTTCCCTTGATAGTAGTTCACTACTTCTTGCTGGTTATTCTTGCTACTAGCATGTGTTACTAATTGAATCAAAGTTAAGCAAACTGGTATTGGCCTTGTTCTAACAGACTCTTTGCATTGTTAGTGTGGTTTAGTCTAAATTTATTTATTCTCTTCAAAAGAGTGGTAGACTGGTAGTTCTCACTTGGAGCATCTGTGAAGATTTCATTTCCCAGGATGAATGGATGATATGAGATGAAGCAAGCAATCTGATAAAAATGATTTGTCAGATTCATGTACCATTAAAAATTTAGGTGAAGCAATAATAACCATCTATATAACAAAGATATGAGCAAAAGAAAAAACTTGTAATTTGCTCCAACTTCAAAGATCAAAACCTGAAAATTCTAACTGTTCAGAATTTATCAGTTTCGTTACAAAATAAGGAAGTATTTGTCATTGAATCTGTCATGGAGGTCCTCAGAAATAATTTGAAGATGACTGGCTTGCTTAATTGCTATCGGTGTTTTGATGTCAAGGGCTGTTGAGGTTTTTCAAGTCCTGTTCTTGAGCATACCAATTTGGCACTATCTTTGAGAGATGCGGGTACAGATCCTTGAAGGAATTCCTAATTGTCCCTTCTGCTACTCCTGTAGCCAGTGATACATCTGCACCAACAAGTTTGGATATCAATATACAGCAATAGGAGGCTACATGTGACAGATCCTAAGGTGGAAATACTCTTGCCTAGACTCGACTAATGTTTTCAGTAACATAGTGTAGAGAGTAGAGATTATGGATGACTTTGTCAAGAATAATGCGTATGACTGTATGAGCTCTGTTTTTACCTTTGACAGGCTTTTTATCATCTGAAAGCTGAGTAACAATGTATATAACAGCTGCTGCAATAGATATGGGACTCCTCCTGCAATGATAATGTAATGAAGGTAATGCTTAGAAATGCATAGAATGTTGTAATGGATTTTGATTGTTGAACTTTAGCTAGGTATTATAGCAATTTCCTCTTTACAAGACACATGGAATCTTGAAAGGAAGAATGATGAATTTGAAATGATAACTGTCAACAGAGGATCGTAGTTCACATAGGAATTTGAAGCGCCTCACTTGGTATGACTATACATGTTCTTCAATCCTCACTCAGTTCAATACAACCAGACAATCCCCCGTTTCACCCGTAGTTGAAGTAAACTACAATTGGCTTTCCCAAGTCACAACTCATCCTTGATATTTCAATAAATCTAAGTTTCACAAACCTTAAATTGGTGACTGTTGAAGTCTGTCGTCGTATTCATTTAAGGAACATATGCAAAATTTTGAACTACTTCTAATAGATCTAACATGAACATCTGTATTTTACTATAACAAAAAACCAGAAGAATACCTTATGTCAAACTCTTCTGATTTTTTGACAGCTTCTTGGGCAGCTTTAACAGCTTGATTTGCCATTCCAAGGTTCGAACAAAACCGTCGCTGAAGGAATGAAAGAGTGTGCTAGGCAGTCAGTTAACCAGCAAAAATTGCAAAATATAGGGAAATTGCCCTCCATAAAGGAGAAGGAACGGAATTTCCTTCATTTATGTTTAAGAAAGGCTTACCATGAAATCCCCAGCATGTATAGTGCCCATATCCACAGATTGACCCATCTCGAGCTCTAGTTGTTTCACTATGTATTCCTTTGCTCGGCCAATCTCCTTCTTGGTTGCACCATTGGCAACAGAGCATATTTCTGGTTGAAATACAAGTGTTCAAGAAGGTCTATATAAGCATCCAAAATATTTAAGTCTTAGAACATACCCTTTACAGTGCGGGGCTTGTCCTCCTGTCTACAAGCGATGTATAGGCAGGCAGCTAGGATAGCATCCTGGTTTCTTCCTCTACTAGATTTCTGATCTTCTACCTTCTTGTAAATCTCATTAGCACGATCCTTCAAATTAAATGAAAAGCACCGTCAACAAATATTAGGATGGCCATGGCTTACAGGTACATGCAGTGTTCTCATTCTTTTACAACATCAACTTAATTTAAGTTCTTGCTTAGATCACAATTCTTTTAAAGAATTTAAACTAGTCTGCTCATTTCACAAGGGAAACCTGTAGAATAAAAACCCCAGACTGCACAATTAAGATGCAAACTTGAGTAAATCGCTAGTTCCAATGTCATGCTCAGAAGACTATTTTGTACAAGCCCATGTCACAAGCTTAAGATTTTCAAGCACTCTCTAATAAATCTCATTAGCTCGGTCCTTTAAATTGAATGAAAGGCACCATAAAAAATGTTGGGCAGTCATTTTTTTTGACAATTAGATCAGCACACATGTTCTTATTCTTATATAAGCCATCAACTATTAATAATTTAAGCTTTTCATTCAATCACTAACAAGTACTATGCGGCTACAAAGTAAATACACAATACAATCTGCTCATCACACTGGAAACCTGTAGAATGGAAAACCCCAGGCGGCCAGGCCACACAACCAAGATGGAAACTTAAGTAAATCATATCATAAAGTCTAATCTCATGCTCAGAAGACTATTTTTGTACAAGCAGATTTTTATGGCAGGGACTAAACAAGTCACGAGATACACTAACAAAAAGTTGAAACCATGAGTTCTTGAGCAAATAATATACCTTTATAGTGGCAACCAGGCCCAATCTGGAAATTCAAAAAAAAAAAAAAAAAATCACATCAGTAGTTATCAACTGCTATAATTTTATTAGATCATGAAGTGCAGACATCAACCCTTGCACTAAGGCAAGTTATTAACAGGAAAATATTATTGTGGGCTGTTCAGAAAATAGAACTGCAGAAAAAAGAGCAAAACCATTTCAACCATAAGAGTTGTAGCATCCTTGTTTCATTTGAGCTATCAAACTAAGCAAACACAAATACCAAATCAAAGAAGAATAACACTGACAATAAGTCCTAGGCCTACTAGTTTTTGGCAATTCCTAAAAACACTACCAACTAGGAAACAGAATCCCATAATTTAATCCTCCACAGTTTGCATCTGAAATTTTGGAGTGCAAAGAGCACTAACATATCCAAGATCTATACGTGACACCACATTACAAAAACAAGCAAGTCTGTGACAGTATGGTTGAAAATACAATCGGCAATCTGCAAAGCGGAATTGAAAAGATCAAAATTCAAATTTCACTCACAGAAGCATTCATGCAAAGTTTTGAGCAAACAAATAAGAAATTGAGAATTACAAAACGAAAATCAAAATGCAGATCATAATAAATTAGAGATAAATGTTAAACAGAGGAGAGGAGAGGCGGCGAGGGGGACCTGTCAGACATAGTGCCGATGGTTTTGAAGGCGAGAATGAGGGAACGGTCAGGATTGGAGCCGCGATTCTGCCAGCGGCCGAGAGAGGAGGTCAAGAAGTCGCTGGTGGTTCCATTGGGCTTGGAGATGACAGTGGAGAGGCCACCGTCGGTGAGGAGGGGATTGCTGGGGCCACCAACTCGATTGGGATCGTTATCTCCGGACTCGTTGGCGAAAGTTCTCCACTCGGAGGTCTCATCGACGGAGTGGGACTCGAGAACGAGGCCGCATTCAGAACAAACCATATCGCCGGCGGAGTGATCGAACACCACCTCGGTGCTCTTCTTGCAGTCGGAGCAGTAGGCATCCATTGCTGCGGTGAAGAAGAGGAAAAACAAAACAAAAATCGCGATGAAGATTACAGAGATTTTTTGAATGCTTTTCCCCAATAATAATTTATGTGTTATCAGTTAGAATTCACCTATTTCATGTGAGCTGTAAGGTAAGGTAAGGAAAGGAGGGAGAGGGAAAGGGTCAACACTCACACACACACACACACATTAATTCTCTCTATATCTCTCTCTCTCCAAGTGGTTTATATAAACACGGAGTAGATGGTGTGGACGATGGAGATTGAAATACCGAGAAAACAGCATTCCATTCCCCTCACCCTCACCCTCACCCTTTCCAAATGGATAAACTACTACGTTACTACTCTTCATCTCTTCCCTTCTCTCTCTACAAAATATAAATACATATCTATAATTAATTAAATATCTTCCTTTTTCTTTGGGATCCCCATTTACATCTCATCTTCACCCGGCCCAACAGGACATTGGGTTAAATATAAATCACGGTGATTCAATAACCCAACAGACATGATCAAATGTCGGTATATATCACTGCTATTGTCGAGGTTCGAAGATCAAATGTCGGTATATATCACTGCTATTGTCGAGGTTCGAACTTTGATGTCAGTATATATCACTGCTATTGTCGAGGTTCGAACTTTGAACTCTTGGTCTTTACTTTCAAATACTGCCTACTGAACGTCTGAACCAGTGAACTAAGCTCGTGCGGACTACTTTTCGAATATCTACTTCCTTTTCTTCGTTCGTGTGGGTTGAGTTTTGATGTACAATTTTCATCTATAATGGTTAATGGTTACTAAGTCATCTTGAATTTTGATGTAAACTTTTCATCTATAATGGTTACTAAGTCAAGTTTAGATTTAATTCACCTCAACGATTACATATTTTTAATAGAGTTAATATCTAATTTATTCATTGATTATATTGATTTTTCTACGTAACATGTTATCTGCTAAGAATTTTATTGGATTTGTTTGTTTTGTTTGAGCATCACTTTTTGTCTTATTTTGTTTCTTTTATAGATTTTCTTTTACCATATTTAGGGAGACTGCTCATACCATCTACTACTTCCAAGTGTTTAATTCACACCTTGAACTAGATTAATATTTAATTTGACACATTAACCTCCAAAATTTCTTTCACCTAGCATTTTATCCAGATTTTTCTTTGATTTTGATGATTTGGCAAGTAATATTTATTTATTTTAAATGCAGAATACGTTACAACCAATTATATCTCTTCAAACTTAATATTCATCTTCAACATTCACACAATACCGGCTCTTTATTGCGGACACTTGTAACTGTAATATTTCAACTAAAATAAGAAAAGTGAGCACTGCAGTGCACTAGTCTACCACAAACGTTTCATCCACCATCGCTTCCTCCAAACTGTTGCGGCGTGTGAACAAATGGATGAACCAGCAATAGTGTTGATGATGAAGCTTTGTTTTCTATGTGTTTTTGAACAACAAATAATCTGAAAAATCTATAACGTCATTTGTCACAAAAAAATAAAATAAAAAAAATTCAACAATGGGTGATTGGGCTTGATTGGGTTTAAAAGTCAAAAGTGAAGGTGACAACTTATCAAGTCAACAAAGTTATTTTTATTTAATTCCATGTCACCATTGTAGAAGAGTTACCTAGAATAAACCTGAAAAAAGTATTAAATGAAAGAAATTTTAGGAGTTAATGTGTCAAATTAGCTCTTATTTTAATTCAATGTGTGAATTAAACACTTGTGAACAATAGATGAGTCTATTTGACCTTTCTGCCCCATATTTATAATATATGCTTCATGTTCTCTCATTGCAACATACCGAAGAAAAAACCAAAACAAGTTCAGGAACATCATGTTTCAAAAAAAAAAAAAAGTTCAAGAACATCATCTAAGAATGAAAAATCAGATATTACACCTAAGAGGTTTGTTTTATTTATTTTTCTAATGCCAATATATTCTCCACTTCTCCTTTTGACCCTTTGGTTTTCTAGTGAAATGCCAAAAAAAAAAAGAAAATAATAATAATAAAATAACATTCCTTTTCTTATTCATTGCCTTGCTAAATCCTCAGTAGTGCCATTTGAAACCTGTAAAGAGCGCGGTTGGATTCAATTAGTGTGGTTTGACCATATACATTATAGCCCAGTTGAATAACCCAACTCCAATCTTAGATTATAACAAAACCAATATCTAGTGGTAAGAACAGGATCAAATAGAAAAGAAACTTGCTGCTTGATACTCCCCTCAATAAAAAAAAAATACATTAAGAGGTAACTGAATGCAGAAACAAATTGGTGACTGTCAAATATTCAAATGCTCAAGTGGTATTTACCTTGAAAAAGGGAATGGCTATACAGAGCCGCAAAATATGAACCAATCCGCATCAGAAACCTATTGGCAAGATAAAATTAAATAACATGCAATCAGTACACAAAATCTGAAAATTTAGAAACTCATTGACTCCTTGTGCTTTAAACAGACAATGGAAAGTATATAACCTTTTCATGAATGCTCACCCAGGGGTACATCGCAACATGAGATGATAGAAGAAAGAATGAAATCAAAGCAAGGGAAACTGAGATTCTCCATATCATCAAAATGGAGTACCATATTCCTTGTTAGCAGAGTAGCAATTGATGTTGTTGCCAACGCAAAACACCTACAAGAAATGAATCCAACCCCCTGTATATACAAAGTCCTTCTTCCTCACTACTCATACATGAAAGTCAAAAACAGCAGCTAACCCTGTTTGGTAAAAAAGGCCAATTTTGGCTTATTTGACCACTATTAATTATTTGATTTAGTTAAAATATCAATACAAATGTTTGATTAATTAGCTTTTTGAAACTCCAAAATGCTAAAATTCAAAAAGCTACTCCAAGCAACTTTTTCATTTAGCTTTTTCAAAAAAGAAATTATACCATACAATTATCAACTAACAGCTAATTTATCAAACACTTTTCTACAATCAGTTAATGTTATCAACTAATTATACCTTCTAATTAACACAATCAACTAACAGCCATTTACCAAACAAGGCCAAAGTAAAATTAATGAAACAATAGAAATTTATTTTTCAATAGGTACAAAATCAACTTAAAACTAAGAATTTTTTGCGTGATTACTAAAGCTTATAATCTAAAAAGAGGAGTAAAAAAAAAAAAAAAAAAAAAAAAAAAAGAAGAAGAAGATTGATTCTCTCCTTGTTACCTTTCCTTACTCTTTGTTGGGGGAGGATGTGGATAACAGGATATGATTTCCTTTGGTGGGGGGCCAGGGAAGTTGGGGGAAAGGGAGACATTTATATAGAGTTTGAAACTGAAACTTACTCTTCACATCCTGCCTTAACAATGTCATAACAGCCTTCTATACAGCACCAGGGGAGTTCATTATTCTAAGGAATTGAGCAACTTTAGGCACATAATCTGGTGTATCCTTTTTTAAAATTGAAAATCATTTTTAAAACTAAAGAACACTTTAAAATCATTTTTAAAATTAAAGAACAATTGAAAAACATTTTTAAAACTAAAAAACACAAGAAAAACATTTTTAAAACTAAAGAGCACACTTGAAAATCATTTTTAAACTAAAGAGCACTCTTTGCTAAACTAGAGCACACTTAAAAATCATTTTAAAACAAAAAAGAATACTTGAAAATCATTTTTAAAACTAAAGAACACACTTGACAATTATTTTTAAAACTAAAGAGCACACTAGAAAATCATTTTAAAACTAAAAAGAACACTTGAAAATCATTTTAAAACTCAAAAGAATACTTGAAAATCATTTTAGAACTTAAAAGAATACTTTAAAATCATTTTTAAAACTAAAAAGAATAATTGAAAATCATTTTAAAACGAAAAATAATACTTAAAAATCATTTTGAAAACTAAAAAAATAACTTGAAAATCATTTTTAAACTAGAGCACACTTGAAAATCATTTTTTAAACGAAAGAATACACTTGAAAATCATTTTTAAAACTAAAAAGAATACTTAAAAATTATTTTTAAATGAAAGAGAACACTTGAAAATCATTTTTAAAACCAAAACGAATACCTGAAAATTATTTTTAAAACTAGAGCACACATGAAAATTATTTTTAACTTAAGCACATTGAAAATTATTTTTAACTTAAGCACATTGAAAATTATTTTTAAAACTTAAATGAATACTTGAAAATTATTTTTAAACTAGAGCACACTTGAAAATTATTTTTAAAACTTAAAAGAATACTTGAAAAAATCATTTTTAAAATAGAGCACACTTGAAAATGATTTTTAAAACATAAAAGAATACTTGAATATCATTTTTAAACTAAAGAGCACACTTTAAAATCATTTTTAAACTAAAAAGCACACTTGAAAATTATTTTTAAACTTGAGCACACTTCAAAATTATTTTTAAAACTTAAAAGAATACTTGAAACTCATTTTTAAACTAGAGCACACTTGAAAATTATTTTTAAAACTTAAAAGAATACTTGAAAATCATTTTTAAACTAAAGAGCACACTTGAAAATCATTTTTAAACTAAAAAGCACACTTGAAGTCATTTTTAAAGTAAAGAGCACACTTGAAATCATATAAATATTAATAGTACTTAAACCAAATAAAAGGAAAGCTGGTGTGGTTTTAGTTCTTCGGCAAAAGCATCAATTTCAGGTTTTCTCAGAATTCTCTCTAGATAGACCTGAAAAGTGAAAAATGCATATTATGGCTACCAAGATGATTCTTGTGCTCCACTGACATGCTGAACACATGAATATACCAGATTACCAGTATTACTTAAAGCAAATATTTCACTGGGATGAACAGTTTGCATGTGTAGGAGGTAGAGTAGAATGCAGAATTTACGGATTCAAAACAAGCAGGAACATACCTTTTGCAAGATTGGATAAGTTTTCAACTTTGAGCAGCGCTCATCCTGAGGAATGATAAACAAATAATTAGCCAAATTCCAGAATGTTACAAAACAAATTCCATATACCAGTCCAAAAATGATGTTCTTAGCACTCAATGCAGGGTTTCAAAAAATAGAATGCATGGATTCATGTGACTGCATGAAGACTAGAAACACGCAGTTAGGACTGAGTGCCAGAGTCCTGCATCATGAAGGATCTATGGAAGAAGATACACACAACCTTGATTCAAGCTACAATATGAAGAAAGTTCCAAACAAAACTAAGTTTTAGTTTTAGCACAAGATTATTTGCCTACCTAACATATAAGAAACACAATGCTTTAGGAATACAAAAAATAAATACTTGAAAACACTAAAAATCATTTTAAAAACTAAAAAGAATACTTTAAAAAGCTGAAAATTATTTTAAAAATAATAAAAGGGAAAAGAACCCAAAAAATAAAGGAAAAAAATCATATCAAGAATGTAAATGTTAAAGAAAATAACTCTGAGAACTATTTTAAAAATTAAAAATAACACTTCAAAAAGGTGAAAATCATTTTAAAAACTAAAAACAACACTTAAAATGAGAAAAACCAAAAAATAAATAAATAAAATTAAAAGAACACTTGAAAATGCAAAACATACCCAAAAAATGAATTAAAAACTAAATAAAGGAACTAAAAAAGTGCTAAAAAGGAATGCTGCAAATCAGATAAAACGAAATTAAATATTCCTAATAAAAAGAGATCAAAAATCGAAAATGAGACTGATTTTCATTTTAAAATTTTAAAATAAATCCTGAAAAAATACTAAAAGAAACAAATAAGTATTCAAAAAGTTTCGAACACCTACAACCATACACCATAAATGGGGAAAAAGAGACAAAACTTGTTAAATATATAAAAGGCTGAAAATCTTTTTAAATGTTCGACACTAATTGGAGTAATTGCATTGAAGTAAACATTCATCACACAAATAAACAAATCCGGGCCAAGATAGTTACAAGAAGCATAAACAAGGAGATAGCACCTCTCAGTAAAGTCGTGATACAGCTCTGTAAAGTCCTCCCCCAACCGGTCTGATGGTTGACCAGTTACAATCTTATAGCTGCAAAGACTATTTGTTGCATTAGGAATTTAGGAGTCTGTAAAAATAATAAATTAACAGAATGTAAATTCATTTGACTACACATAAAGAACAGCACAAAAGAAGGGCGCAAAAGCTTGATTCTTACCTTATGAGCCAGATGGTGAAATGCATACAACAAGCACTCAATATATGTAAAGTTTATTTCTTCAGTCTTTCTCTGAACCATGTATTTCTGAGACAAAAATTAGATACTGCAAGTTTCAATGAGAATGTTAGTATCCCGATACGAAAATGAAGGTATAGCAACTGCATAGAAGAAAAACAGATATTATTGTCTCAAAAAAGACCTAAGATCTGTGAGTAAAGGCCAAGAATTAAGGGATTGCATTCTAAAGGTGCAAAAGAACATAAACTGCCCAATGAATTGGTAAAACCAAAAAATTGAAACACTAGATCACATCTAAAGCAAGGATCCCATATGCAAGTCCCATGAATAAGACTACTACTATAACTAATCTCGAAACGCAAGTTCCATGAATGCATTTTAGCAACAGGTACAGCATTGTGTAATTATTTGAAGAAGTTTGAAAACAGCAAAGTCAAATGATCACAGAAAATTGCCATTTCAACTCTGCCAAAGCACCAAACATGCAGATTCGCATAGGAGGAACAAGCAAATATGCAAGTCTCTTTCACATATTATGGCATTACCTTTAGAAGCTGAACAATGGGTGAAAGAAGCTGACGAGAATCTTGTGGGTTTGCATAGGGGGAACAATCTGCTACATCCTTCAGCAAGTCCAACTTTCGCTCTTCTCAAAGCTGAGTATATAAAAGTATTACTTGCATCTAATAGTTCCAAAATAATCCAAGATGAAGAAAAGAAAAAACGAAAATTGAATTATGAAATACACGAAGTTCTACAAGATGTATTGTAGTTGCTGAACAAGGCCTTGTGAAAGCCAATTTACATCATAAAATAACATTTCATCATTAAATAATTACCAGCACATAAACATCATAATATGTTTTATCTCCAAAATGGAAATTCATTAACCAGCTTTCATAAAACATTTCAAATAGCCAACTTGCAAACATAGTCCTTGCAATAGGAACACAGATTATATACCAGAGATAATTCACAATGCAGAAATAAAAAGAAAAATAAATGAAGTATCCCTAATTATCATATTATTATTATTATTAAAACAAAATGAGAAACATAGATTATGTCACTCAAGCAGTACCTTGTCAAAAACAGGAAAAAATTGCTTGTTCAGATAGTTAAGAAACTTGTTGCTTGATGCTCCCCTCTAAAAAAAATACATTAAGAGGTAACTGAATGCAGAAACAAATTGGAGACTGTCAAATATTCAAATGCTTAAGTGGTATTTACCTTGAAAAAGGGAATGGCCATACAGAGGCCAGATATGAACCGCATAATATGATCCGCATCAGAAACCTATTGGCAAGATAAAATTAAATAACATGCAATCAGTACACAAAATCAGACTATTCAACATTAAGAATTTCATAGCCAAGGCAAAATCAATGTGCACAATGTAGGTACCTATCCCACACCCAGTGGCAAAATTAGGGAAAGGAGGGGGAACCTGCCCCTCTAGCTTTTTGAAAAATCTAAAAATTTAGAAATACTCCATATCTACCAATGAAAATCATTTAAAAACTAAAAAGAATACTTGAAAACACTGAAAATCATTTAAAAAAAAAAAAAAAACTAAAAAGAACACTTAAAAACACTAAAAAAAATTATTTTAAAAACTTATAAGAATACATGAAAATTCTAAAAATCATTTTAAAATTAAAAAAGAACACTTAAAAACGCTAAAAATCATTTTTAAAATATCAAAGTGAAAAGAACCCAGAAATGAAGGAAAAACAAGATTAAGAAAGTAAATGTCAAAAAATAACTCTTAAAACAATTTTAAAAAACTAAAAAGAACACTTGAAAACGCTGAGAAACATTTAAAAAACTAAAAAGAATACTTCCAAATGCTGAAAACCATTTTAAAAACTAAAAAGAACACTTAAAAATGCAGAAAAACATTTTAAAAACTAAAACGCTGAAAATCTAAGATTACTACCATTAAGTTGTTAAGTAGTCACAGGAATGTTCACACTCGTAGACTATATTTTCAATAACGGACAATGGTTGTATACAGTAAACATCTAAGATTACTACCATTATTTCCATGATCCTACCACAGAGAAGTTCAAATTCATTAATCAAAAAGCATTAATGACACAAGGTGATTTACCTGTTAATATCTCATCGGCTTTACTGTTTAATTCTTCAAGCTCTTTCTTTTGCACCTCCCACATAGCCTTCAGTTCAACCTGATCAATTATACAAAGAGTAACATTATATACAAATATAATGTCAACTGGATTGAAGAAAACACTGCGCCCCTCTGGGAATGTAGAGTATAAATTAAAATAATCAAATATGATAAAATATTACCCCCAAGGGAGGTTGAGGGGATTACGATTTTGATGACCTTGCCGTCGACGGAGATGGAGTCGTATTTGAGAAGGTGAGAGGCCTGGTTGACACCGGGTCCGGTGTCGTTGATGGCAATGACATCAAGGGGAGAATCCTTCCTTCCATGCCAGCACCTCAAGAAGTTCCTTCCAATTCTTCCGAATCCATTAATGGCCCCTCCTTTGCTTCCCTTCTCTGCCCTCTTCTATAGCCGAGACAGAGCAATCGGAAATAGGAAAACCTAAATAAATAGCCGAGTAGCCGACCTTCGGCGCCGACTTAAAAATTTAATCCGTGGGAGATTTTGAAATTTAAAGCCGGAGAAGGAAGGGATCGAAGGAGATTTGAGATACTTTAGAGAGAGATGAGAGCGTACGGACAGATCATAGAGGGGGAGCATTATGCTTTGCAACCGACTGCATCTTGTAAGGTGCACACAAAATTGGATCAATAATTTATATATTATAGATCTATAATTTCATATATTATAAATTCATAATTTTTATACTGTAGATTTATAATTTCTATATTGTATAATTATCAAATTATGAACATATAGTTCAGTGATTTGTGAATACAAAGTTCAATAATTGAGAATATGAATATTGAAAATTATGAACATAAAATTTTGTAACTGTGAATATAGAATTCAATAATTATGAATCTATAGTATATAAATTATGAATCCAATTCCGTGTGCACCATGCATGGTGCACACGGTTGCACGACATAATTTGCCTCATAGAGAGAGAAGGGGCTTGTGGTCTGCCTGTCCGAACAAGGGTTAGGCTTTGGATATTTAGGCAAATTATATCGTGCACCACGGTGTATAATCGATTATGCACCGCGCATCAAAACGACGTCGTTTTATTTAATGAAAGAAAACGATATCCGTTTCTCGCTATTCTGTACCATTCCGCAAAAAGTAACTCTGTTATTCAGTTTCATTTTGTATACACTGCAGTTTTAGTTCAACACAACTACAGTTTCATTTCGATATAACTACAGTTTCATTCGATATTTATAAACTCAAATATGTGAAAATGTTATTTAATTTTATTTTATATACACTATAGTTTTATTAAACACAACTACATGATCATTTTGATATAATTACAGCTTCATTGTACAATATACACTCAAATATGTGAATGTTATTCAGTTTCATTTTATATATACTGCAGTTTCATTTCACCACAACTACAATATCATTTTGATATAACTGCAGTTTCATTTGATAATATAAAAATAATATGAGAGACAGTGTCTATTTAGGTATATTGTAGTGTCAGTTGGTAATTAACATACAAAAAAATACGCTATCCGTTAAAACTAACAGCGCGCCGTTTCTTTTTACTTAAAGAAGTGACATATAATGACTCGGATATTTATACGTGGGCCGATGGTTAATGAATTGGGCTTAGCACAGAAAGGTACATGGGTAATTAATTAGGAAAATTATACTGTGGACCGCGGTCCATAATGTATTGTAGTCCATGCATCAAAATGACGTCCTTTTGTTTAATGAAAAGAAACATCACCCGTTTTGCGCTGTTTCACGCCTTTCCGCAAAACATAACTCTGTTATTTAGTTTCATTTTGTATATACTGTAATTTCATTTCAACATAACTACAGTTTCATTTGATATTATACACTCAAATATGTGAAAATGTTATTTAGTTCATTTTATATACATTATAGTTTCATTAAAACACAACTAAATTATCATTTCAATATAACTACAGTTTCATTGCACAATATACACTAAAAAATGTGAAATGTTATTTAGTTTCATTTTATATACACTGCAGTTTCATTTCAACACAACTGCAGTATTATTCAGATATAACTGCAGTTTCGCTGGGGCAATATTCACTCAAATATGTGAAATTGTTATTCAATTTCATTTTGTATACACTGTAGTTTCATTTCAACATAACTACAGTTTCATTTCAATTCAATTGCAGTTTCATTTGATAATATAAAAATAATACGTGAGGCAGTGTTAGTTTAGATACACTGTAATTTCAGTTGGTAATTAACACACCAAAAAATATGCACTCCGTTAACTGTAACGGCGCATTGTTTCTTTACTTAAAGAAACGACGTCGTTTTTGAACCGCGGTCCACACTATAATTGCTGAATTAATTAGGCCATTTTTAAATTATACTCCCCCGTCTCATTTTATGTGTCTGGTTCGATTAAGGAGGCTTGACTGGAGTTATTTTATCAATTTTTCATAATGTTAAGTTTAGTATTAGTATACAAAATTTATATATTTAGAAACTACACTAAAAGAACTATTAAACACAAAAAAAAAAATCAAATTTAAAAATAATTAAAAAATACTAAAGAATATAAACAAAGAAGAAAGAGTTGGTTTGACCAATGAATAGTAAAAATTTTCAAATATTCTTTTTAGCTTTAAAAATAATTTTCAAGAGTGCTCTTTAGTTTAGAAATGATTTCCAAGTGTGCTCTTTAGTTTAAAAATAGTTTTCAAGTGTGTTCTTTAGTTTTAAAAATGATTTTCAAGTGTGTTCTTTAATTTTAAAAAAGATTTTTAAGTGTTTTTTTTAATTTTATTTTTTAGTTTTAAAATAATTTTCAAGTGTGTTCATTAGTTTTAAAAATGATTTTCAAGTGTGTTCTTTAGTTTTAAAAATGATTTCAAGTGTGCTCTTTAGTTTAAAAATGATTGTCAAGTGTGTTTTTTAGTTTTAAAAATGATTTTCAAGTGTGCTCTTTAGTTTAAAAATGATTGTCAAGTGTGTTCTTTAGTTTAAAAAATTATTTTCAAGAGTGCTCTTTAGTTTTAAAAATGATTTTCAAGTGTGTCCTTTAGTTTTAAAAATGATTTTCAAGTGTGCTCTTTAGTTTAAAAATGATTTTCAAGTGTGCTCTTTAGTTTAAAAATGATTTTCAAGAGTGCTCAAAATGATTTTTAAGTGTGTTTTTTAGTTTTAAAAATGGTTTTCAAGTGTGCTCTTTAGTTTAAAAAATTATTTTCAAAAGTTCTCTTTAGTTTAAAAATGATTTTCAAGTGTTTTTTAATTTTAAAAATAATTTTCAAGTGTTCTTTATTTTTAAAAATGATTTTCAATGTTCTCTATTTTAAAAATGATTTTAACATTTTCAAGTGTTGTCTTTAGTTTTTAAAATGATTTTCAAGTGTGCTCTTTAGTTTAATAATGGTATGACTTATGAGAAGACTGTATCCCGTCTTAAAAATCGCATTTAAAAAAAAAAAAAAAACTTCATCGAAGTTTGATAGGACACTTGTCATAGTAGCAAATGTCATGCGCTACTCAATATTTAATTTTTCTCCATAAAGCAAGTAATATTCACTGACTTGTATATTATATTCTTCTAAAATTTTTCTATTATACTTTTCTTGGATTGATAGTGATAACTTTTTATCGACTAAGTTAAAGTCATCAAATATTTTTTTCATTTTTTCCACATTTATCATCAGTATGTAGTTTTGTGTTGAGCAGATCTTCACGCATGTATGACTTATATTTATTCCACAAGTTGTGGGGATTTGAGATATATCACAAAAAAATTAGAAGATTTGCAAATAATCTCCTACCTTGATGGCATTTGGTAGATTTAATTTTTTTTGTTATAGTGTTAAATGTAGTATTTGGCAAAAATTTTACAAAAATTAGCAAAACATCATATGAGGTTTTACAAAATTGCCTCATTTGAGGTTCTATGAAGTTGTATAGTGTGTTGTATGTGTTTTCTTTTAGGTATTATAATGTGTGTGTGTGTTTTGGGTATTATAATATCATTGAAGTGTGATTTATATGCTTGGTTTTATGTCTTGTTGTTTTTTTATACAAATTTTAGAATTTTAACAAGTTTGTAACGATTCAAACAGATTGTTTGCAGCTGAGAAATGCGATACGGCAGAATACAACTATCATAATGTCCTATGTTGGAGTAGTAGTTGACCAGTGTAGGACTTTAGCTTCGTCTTTTAATTATGTCTTGTTTAATCATGTTTCTAGGCAGATTAATGCGCATGCGCACACGTTAGCTTCGTTAGCTTTTATTCAGGATCAAGCTATGTATTAGGATTCTATCCCTCCAGACTGCATTGCAGCTTTGATTCATTAATACAATCATTCATTGGTTGGCTTTCAAAAAACA